TTCTCCCAGGTGAAACTGGGGCCCTTTACGGGGACCCTGCAGGGGAGAGGGGACCCAGGTGAGAAGCCCGGGTCTCAGTACTGAGGGAAGCTGAGCCACCCTCCCCGCTGTGTCCCCAGGGAGGTAGGGTCTGGCTCTCACAAGCACAGTACTTGAGGCAGGGCCCCACCTCCTCCCCCAGCACCCTGGCCCGTACCTGCTCATATTTCAAGATGATGGCTGCTCGCTCCTGGGCCCTGCCAGACCTCAGGGCGTCCATATCCAATCTGTAAGACACACACGCACATGTGAGCCAGCACAGGGAGCCCATGGGAACTGCTGCCCTGAGGGCTGTTCCCCTGGTCAGAGGGGGGATAGCCACACAGCCATGTGGGCGGGCACCTGGTGGTCGGGTCCCAGGAGGATGACTTGTCCAGAGCACAGGGACTAGGGACGGTTGGGGAAGGACAGCCCCCACCTTGCCTCCCCTGCCCTGGGAAAGGATGCTCCTCTCCCAGCCTGGCATCTATGTGTCCTCCAGGGAGCCCAAGTCCAAGGGTCTCCCTGGCCTGCTCCCAGCCCCCACATCTCTGGGGCTCTCAGAGCCGGCCTCCCTGCCCCACCTGATACCAGCTGATCCAACACCTAGTCTTGAACCCGTGTCCAGACATAGACTCACACCAAGGCCCATTCACCACTAGTGCCCAGCAGAGCGGGAGGAATGAGACGACTGTATACACACTGCACACAGGGGCCCACTGAGAGCTCAGCCACATCACTCATGGAACCTGGCGTGGGAGACCAGTGCCACCCATCTGGCGTGACCTTCCCCATGTCACAGCTCATGCAGAGAGCAAGTCCCACTCACCTCCATCGCGAATCCATTGGATTCTGTTAAAAGTGCCTCCTGCCTACGCTACCCACACCTGGTCAGTTGGGCAGTAGAAGCACTACTGACCACTGGTTGCCGACAACCCAGAGTGCACAGTTCTCAGTGACTGTGATGTCACAGAATCCTGCCAGCCAATTCCAAGTGACACACAACTCTGGCAGGGGCAGGGTTCTCAGCCCTGGCTTCATCAAAAGTCACCAAAAATGGGGCCTGTGTTCTCCCCAGGCCCCAGGTGAAGAGGGCAGGGCTCTGGCAGAACTTCCCCAGAACCAGGGGTGCCAGGGCCCTCTGCCACCTGCCGTAACGGTCCCAAGTCCCAGGCAACCTGCACCTCCTGCCCCTCCTTTATTCCTCTGCAATTTTATTACAGCACCACTGTGAAAGCCTTTTTCAGTGAACACAAGGTGGCACAGGGAGCCCCATCATGGCCTGTCCTTCTTCCTGAGGTCCCCACACTCGGGGCTGCCCCTGCAATGACCTGAACGGAGACTCCCAGGGCTGCAGCCTCCTGTCCTACCACAGGCCCCACCCCAGCCCTGCCAACCCCTGCTGACCCCTCCTGCTCTGTTCCAGCCCTTCTTCCCAGGAGTTTTAGGAGGTGGACACAGGGGGTCCTCCTGGGATGGGGTGAGGGGAGCCGCCCGCTAAGCACCACCTGCATAGGACCTCAAGCCGGCGTGGTCCAGACTGTCCAGAGCGGGAGCCAGGGCCCTGTCCTGACACTGGCCAGGGAGGGCTTCAGGCACAGAGCACTGAGAACTCCTTGGCACCAGCTCCTGAGCCGCACGCTGGTAACACCGGGCTGCTGCTGACCATAAGGACAGGGACGGCATGCATCGGGCAGGAGCAGCCACAGGCCCACAGTTCCCCGGGGTGCTGATCACCGGGACACCCACCCCTGAGGGATGCAGGGGTCACTGCCAGCAGCAGCTCAGCCCTTCCAGCCCCTGGGCTGCTCGTGGTCAGCACGGGCTCTGCAGAGCCCAGGGACCCCAGCAGGGTTGGCCCAGCCTCAAGGCTTCCAGCTTTGGCTGCCTTCCTGCTGCTTCCTCGCTGCTTACTCCGGGGAGGGGGAGCTGTCTTCTACTGTGGAGTGCGCATGTATTTCTCTGTGTGCATCACACGTGTGTGCCCAAGGTGGGTGTGCTCCAGGCCTCCCCCGGGACTAGAAGCTCCATGCCTGAAGCACCCGGTCCTTGTCACTGTCACCTCATGGCATGCAGGCTACACTGAGATGGCACCAAGTGTCCCCCCATTTTCCCACCCCGCCTTGCTGGGCTGCTTTGGTGCAGTCAGGTGGGCTTGCAGCGGGCACAGCCCCATGGCAAGGCGGGAATCTGCACTCCTTCAAGAACTCCTGTTGCCCTCAGTACAGTACTCACTGGTGAGGCTGAGACGATGGCCCCAGGCTGATGGGTTCAGGAGGCACCCGGGATGAATCCTGCTCTGGGTGACAAGGCAGCTGGCTGCACAGCCCCTGCCAACCTGGCCCAGCATGGAGGATGCCCGGGGGGAGGGATGAACTCACCTCTGCAACGTGGCTTCTGTCCCCTACTGTCAGGTGACGATCCCACCTGTTGGCCATCTCCTCCTCTGTCAGGACCCTGGAGGTGGATGAGGAACAAAAGATGCACCTGTCTCCAGCCCCTCCCTGCCCTGCCTCAGGCCCCAGGACAGCCTCTCCTGCTCACCCCATCATGGTCAGGGCAGTGACAACCCAAGTCTCATCTGCAGCCTGCCCGGTACCACAGAGTCCAGCGTCCCCATCCCCCGCACATGCACCACAGCACTCTCTGTTCCACTTCCTCGTTGTAAGGAGCCCCTCCTGTGCCCAGGAACCCATGCAGGTGTCCCCCTCTGCTGTCCTGCCCTACCTTGACGCAGCACTCACCAACCCCTGGAGAAACTTCTCCCCAGACACGGGGGCAGGAGGCCTCCCTGCACCCCTTAAAGCCATGCGGCCATGGCATTGTCCTGCCTGTCAGTTTCTTCCCAGTCCTCATGGCAGCCTTGTTCGCCTCATCACCTGAAGGTCACGGGCGTGGGTGGTTTCTCTTTAGTGCTCCCTGCCCTGCAGACTTGCTAGCAAACAGTAGAATGCAAATAAATACCAGTAAGTTGAAAACCATGGGATTCTCACACATTCGGTGTGGAGTTGATGGCCTGTTTAGTCCAGAAAGAGACCGAGGGTGATAAATGCTCATCCCCAGGCCTCCTCTTCCACAGCTATCAGGGGACAGAGAGTTACTGAGCCAGCAGGAAACACCTCTCACACCTGGGGGCCCTGCTCAGGGGCAGGAGCCAAGACTCGGGAGTGGATGCTGTCTGGCCCACAACGCTGTGCATCCGGGAGAGTTGGAGAATGAACCAGATGGACGATTCTCTCTCTCTCTCTCTCTCTCTCTCTCTCTCTCTCTCCTGCTCTCTTTATGTAACTCTTACTCTCAAATAAACAAATCATATATATGTACATATATAAAAACATTAATTAGTGGAGCTGTGGAGCCTATTACTGTATATATATATGTATATATATATCTCACTACGCTGTATACATGGTTTTTTTTTCTAGTGAGCACTTGTAGTCTTCACCAAAACAAACTGCTCATGGGCCTTAATACCACTTGTTCAAATTTGAAAGGTTTTTTTTTTAAATATTTATTTATTTATTTATTTGAAATTCAGAGTTATACAGAGAGAGGAGAGGCAGAGAGAGAGAGGTCTTCCATCTGCTGGTTCACTCCCCAATTGGCTCAGCTGCACCTATCCGAAGCCAGGAACCAGGAGTTTCTTCCAGGTCTCCCATGTGGGTGCAGGGGCCCAAGGACTTGGACCACTTTTCTTCTCTATAATCTTTTTTGTGGCTAAATGATCTTACCTAGTTGTGTATTTTAATTTTCCACTTATTGGCTTTGGTTATTATATTATAGTTTTGCTTTGTGTTTACCATGAGTCTTACTAAAACATTTTTGGCTTATCAAAAGCTTGTTTGACATGTAGACATCTTGGCATAAGGAAAAAACAAGGGGTTGGTTCCGTGGCATGTTAGGTTAATCCTCTGCTTGGGGTGCCAGCATCCCATATTGGCACCAGTTCTGGTCCCGGTGCTCCTCTTCCAATCCAGCTCTCTGCTGTGGTCTGGGAAAGCAGTAGAAGATGGCCCAAGTCCTTGGGCCTCTGTACCCACATGGGAGACCGGCAGGAAGCACCTGGTTCCTGCCTTCAGATCAGCGCAGCTCTGGCAGTGCAGCCACTGGGGAGTGAACCAACGAACAGAAGACCTTTCCCTCTGTCTCTTCCTCTCACTGTCTTTTACTCTACTTCTCAAATAAATAAAATCTTTTAAAAAAAGAGAGATACATACTAATAAAGAACACTAAAATTACACTCCTTTCCTTCCTACATTTTGAATTTTCGATGTCTACTTTTAAATCTATATTATCTATTATTTTTAGTGGAATTATTATTATTAATTCTTTTGCTTGTTATTCTTCATACTAAACATATGGATTGTGGATGTCCTTGTTTACAATATGGGAGCATTCTGAATTTGTGTATTTAGTGACTTGTACCAGTGAGTTTTCCACATTCTAATATTTTTTCTTACTCATTAGCATCTCTTTCTTCCAGTTTAAAAAACTTCCTTTCTTGTAGGACAGATCTACAAGACAATAACCTCTCTCACCTCTTGTTTTTCAGAGAATAACATTATCTGTCCTCCATAACAGAATGATAACTTTGCTAGATCCAATATCCCTGGTCAGCAGGTTCTCCAAGAACATTGTGAGAATCACATCCCTTTTCGTGCCATCTGTAAATCCTGCCCTATCACTCTAGGAGTGAACTGGGACAGTCTGGTGTGTCATTCACTTCCTTTCTCTTGCAATGTTGAGACTCATCTTTTCCCTGGAGACAAATTTGATTTTAATACATCCCGGGATGGACTTGGTTGAATCAAATCTAATTGGTGACCCCATGCCTTCCTGTCACTTGGATCACTGTACCTTTCTGCAGACTTCAGGATGGTTCTGTATTATCTAGTTGTGTGTACTGACTACCAATTTAATATTCTCAGTTCCTCTTGACCCACAATAATGTAGATATGTTTGTTTGTTTTTATTGTTTGAAGGTAGAGAGATCTTTTATCAACTGGTCCACTCTGCAGATGCCCACACAGCTGGAGCTGAGACAAGTGAAAGCCAGGAGCCCAGAGCTCAATCCAGGTACCTCACATAGGTGACAAGGGCCCAAATACTTCAGCTATCATCTGACACCTCCCAGGGTGTACATTATCAGGAAATTGGATTCAGAAGCAGAGCTAGTGCTCAAACCCAGGCACTGCAATATGAAATGTGAGTATCCTCGCCAGTGACTTAACCACTGCACCGAAGAGATACACCAGATGTGTGTACCTTTCAAAGAATCCTAAAATACACGTACGCCTTTTCATACTTGTTGGATTTTTTTTATTTTTTGCTTCGCCATATGTTCATTTTCAAATAGCCTATATTTGAGTTTACTGCTGCTTCTGTTTGATATAGTTTCCCATTGATACATTCTATCATATTCTAAATTTTGGTTAGTATAATTTTAGCTTAAAGATTTCTGTTTGGTTTTTGAAAATTACCTTCATTTCTTGAGGGCCGGCACCGTGGTGCAGTAGTTTAATTCTCTGCCTGAGACACTGGCATCCCATATGGGTGCCAGTTCTAGTTCTGGCTTCTCCTCTTCCCATCCAGCTCTCTGCTATGGCCTGGGAAAGCAGTAGAAGATGGGGCAGATCCTTGAGCCCCAGCACCTGCATGGGAGACCTGGAAGAAGTTCCTGATTCGTGGCTTCGGATCGGCACAGCCCCACCATTGCAACCATTTGGTGAGTGACCAATGAAAGAAGACCTTTCTCTCCGTCTCTCCCTCTCACTATCAGTAACTCTACCTCTCAAATAAATATTTTTTTTTAAAAATTACCTTCATCTCTAGTAAGCTTCCTCCTCTGAGTATTGAATAGTTTTGTCATGTTCTCTTGAAGCTTAGTGAGTTGCAATACAGCAGCTATTTTTAATTCTTCATCTGAGAATCTGCACATGTCAGTTGCCATCCATCTGGCCTCTGAAAACTTACTTTGTTCCTTATGTGAGGTAGTGGTTACTTGAAAGTTCTTGATGCTTGTAGGCACACTACATCATCTTCAACTTGAGGGATTGTTTCCTCGAGCCTTCAAATTGTGGCTTTGTTTTTGACTTTCCTTCCAGAAATTCCAAGCAGTCAATTTTCAGAGCATATGGACACTTGGGCTGTTTCAGCTCTAGATTGCAACATAAGTCTGCTGTTGATGTGTTGTCACTGTTTTAGCACTAGAGAGTGCTCCAAGCCCAGGTTTGTCCTAATGCTGCGGTTGGTGTTTTGTTCAAAGTTCATTAAGGAAGTGCCTAAGTAGGGGTAGTCTATCATTACAGTCCTGTTCCTGGTGCTGAGCCAGATGCCAAGTACCATGCCATCAGTGCCAAAATGGCAATCACTTCTGGAGCCCAAGATCCATGCTTCCAGTGCTGAAGTGGACTCACTTCCATCATCTGTCAGTGATGATGCTGTTTAGAATGTAAGTCTGATTAACATGGGTCACAGGTCTCCACCTGGCACTCCTGGCACTGGGGTCAGAAGAGAAGCAGGGGCTTGGGGAAGGGAAATGTTGGGATAGGAACAGTGTCAGGTATTTATCAGACGGGCACTGAGTCACAGGGCACAATCCTGAAATCACTTTGTTTCTCAGTGGCTGGGGTCTTGTTCTATATTCTTTCCAAGATTGAGAAAGGGATGGTTGAGGCAGTCCCCTTGACACCTTGCTAAAGAGGACACTTGGGCTCAGTCTGTAGCCACTGGCTTGGGAGCAATGGCCCTGGGGCCCTGTCTGGCACCATGTTTCATAGTAGTGAGCCTGGTACTGGGTTTGACATCAAAGGTCTGGGTGCAGTTCCTCCTCTGTCCTCCAAGCAGAAAACCAGACACCCCTTTCCCTGCTACTTGGATCTGAGAGGTGGGTATGGCTGTCCTCTTTTCTTCCTGCATTCCTCAGAGTGTCTTTTCTTCTTGTTCTCATGCCAGGCACTGTGGTCACTCACCTGCTTCCTTAGCTCCTGTGTGTGTGTGTGTTGTCACTGTGTAACAACAGTGTGGTGTGTTGTCACTGTGTAACAACAGTGTGGTGTAGGAATAGCTGTTCTCATCAGTGTCTGAGTGCAGTGCTGACAGCCAAAACATCTTAGCTCCCTCCCGTTGCACCTTCTAGATTTTATTTGCTGTACAAACACTACCAAGTTTCAGATTATCAAAGAGGCGAGCAGTGTCAGTGCGATTGTGTCATACACAGGAAGGTTTCCCCCCATGAAGTGATCAGGACTTGTCCATACCATTCCTTAGAGATCATCTGTAATTTCAGAGTATGAAAAAGATGTCGGCCGGCGCCGCAGCTCACTAGGCTAATCCTCCGCCTTGTGGCGCCGGCACATGGGGTTCTAGTCCCGGTTGGTGCGCCAGATTCTGTCCTGGTTGCCCCTCTTCCAGGCCAGCTCTCTGCTGTGGCCAGGGAGTGCAGTGGAGGATGGCCCAAGTGCTAGGGCCCTGCACCCCATGGGAGACCAGGAGAAGCACCTGGCTCCTGCCTTCGGATCAGCGCGGTGCACCGGCCGCAGTGCACCAGCCGCAGCGGCCATTGGAGGGTGACCAATGGCAAAAGGAAGACCTTTCTCTCTGTCTCTCTCTCTCACTATCCACTCTACCTGCCAAAAAATAAAAAAGAAAAAAAGAAAAAGATGTCAATATGAAAAATACGTCAACATAAATGTGATTGTGATGTGTAATTCTGGTGGACATTCAGGCTGGATAAGGGTGACTAGATAGCTTACTGAACATTATTTCAGAGCGTGTGTTGATGGTGGGGGGGATTTCTGGATGATGTAGGTGAATACATAGGTGCTGCCACCAGGGACCACAGCCTGGTCTCATCCGATATTTTTTGTAAGATTCATTTATTTATTTAAAAATCAGAGTTACACAGAGAGAGGTAGAGGCAGAGAGAGAGAGAGAGAGGTCTTTCATCCACTGGTTCTCTCCCCAGTTGGCCACAATAGCCAGAGCTGCTGTGATCCGAAGCAGGAGCCTGGAGCTTCTTCTGGGTCTCCCATGCGGGTGCAGAGGCCCAAGGACTTAGGCCATCCTTCACTGCTTTCCCGAGCCATAGCAGAAAGATGGATAGGAAGTGGAGCAGGCCGGCGCCGCGGCTCACTAGGCTAATCCTCCGCCTAGCGGCGCCGGCACACCGGGTTCTAGTCCCGGTCGGGGCGCCGGATTCTGTCCCGGTTGTCCCTCTTCCAAGCCAGCCCTCTGCTGTGGCCAGGGAGTGCAGTGGAGGATGGCCCAGGTGCTTGGGCCCTGCAGCCCATGGGAGACCAGGAAAAGCACCTGGCTCCTGGCTTCTGCCATCGGATCAGCGCGGTGCGCCGGCCGCAGCGCGCTGGCCGCGGCGGCCATTGGAGGGTGAACCAACGGCAAAGGAAGACCTTTCTCTCTGTCTCTCTCTCTCACTGTCCACTCTGCCTGTCAAAAATAAAAAAAAAATAATAATAATAATAAATTAAGCCCCCATTTAAAAAAAAAAAAAAAAAGGAAGTGGAGCAGTCATGACTCAAACCAGTGTGCACATGGGACGTGTGCACTGCAGGCAGTGGCTTTACCTGCTACTCCACAGTGCTGGCCCCTGGCTTCTTTCTTACAGAGGTGTTTCCAAAGTGTGCCTGTGTTGTGCAATGTGTCAGTGCTTCTCTTTATTGCTGAATACCACAGTGTATGAATATGTTGCACTTTGCCTAGCCATCCATGGACATCTGGTTAGCTTCCACCTTTTACTTAATATGCATAATGCTAGTATAAACATTTGTGTTTCAGAAGGGTATGTTTGGTATCTGTTTTCGGTTCTCGTAGGTGTATATTTAGGAGTGGAATTGCTGGGGTAAATGATAACTTGGTGCCTACCTTTTTAAGAAACTGCCATGCAGGTCCAGTTTCTCCAAGACTGTATCGACAAGGGTTGTCTATATTTTTGACAATGGACTTCTTACAGGGTGTCCCCTTGTGCTTTGCATTTCCCTAATGTCTGATGGTGCTGGACAGTTCTTCATGTGCTTGCAGACCAGTAATAAGGCTCTTTAAAACCTTTTGATTATGATATAGTTTTTGCACTTACAGAGGAGTTACAGAATAGTTTGAAAAAGTCCTGTAGTTCCTTCACTCAGACTCACCAGACATTAACATTTGCCCTATTGGAGTTGCATTCCCATTCGTATTCTCTCCCTTTTCCCTCTCTCTGGTCTTCGTCTTTCTCTACACACATCCATACAAACACACACACACACACACACACACATTTTTATTTAATAATCTGAAAGTAACTGGACTAATCATGTCCCTTTATCCATGAATACTTTGGCATAGATTTTTTGAGAACACGGATTCTTTTCATGTAATTTCAGTACACTTCTCAAAATCAGAACACACGGCATTGATAACCAGTAGTATCCAATCTATGTTCAGACTTTATCAATCGTCCCCATATTCTAGACCCACAGCTTGCTCATCAGATTTCCTTAATCATATTTATTATTTTTTGAAATATTATTTATTTGAGAGATCAATGGACAGAGAAAGAGAAGAAGACAGAAAGACAGAACTACTATCCATGGGTTCACTCCCCAAATGCCTGCAACTGCCAGGCTGGACCAGGGCAAAGCCGGGACCCCAGAACTCCATCTGGACTTCCCCCTGGGCCATTGTCTGCTGTCTCCCAGGTGCACTGGCAGGGGGCTGGATTGGAAGCCCAGGAGACGGGACTCAAGTCGGCACTCTGATATGGGAGGCGGGAGTGCTGGGTGGCGGTGTAACCTGCAGCGCCACAGCATTCACCCCATCCTTGGCAGGTGCACGGCCTTGCCTGTCCTGGAGAGTTTGCACCATGATTTGGTAGAAGAGTTGCCCGCTGTTTCGTGACAGTTTGGGAGAGTTTGCCTGCTTTTCCCTGGGGCTCTATTAAAGCACACGTGTTTAACACTCAGGAACAACAGACAAAACGTGCTTCCCAGGCATGGTGGGCAGGGACTCATTCCTGCCCCATCGTTGGCGATCAGCTTTGTCACTTGGCTAAGGTGTGGCCTATGGGTTGAGGGGTTAAGCAGCCAGGACAAAAGGCAGTACAAAAAATTATTGTAGTTAATAAGAAGTTTGGGGGGTGGGTGTTGCGGTGCAGTGAGTTCAGCTGCTGCTTGGGATCCCTGCATCCAACACCAGAGTGCCCCTCCGGCTGCTCGGCTTTGATCCAGCTCTCTGCTAATGCTCCTGGGAAGAGGGGGATGACGGCTGAAATACTGGAGGCCCTGCCACCATGGGGGACACCCAGATGGAGTGGTAGGCTCTTAGCTTCGGCCTGGTCCAGCCCTGGCTGATGTGGGTATTTGGGAAGAGAATGAGGAGATGGAAGGTGTCTCTCCTTTTCTTATCACTAGGTTCAGCATAGTGTGTGTGTGTGTGTGTGTGTTTAAATCAGACCTGAGGTGCGAGTTACATGGAAGAAAATTCACCCGTGTCTCTTAGATGAGTTTTGGCAAATGTGTAGAGCCAGGTCTGCATCATTGACAAAAACTCAGAATAGGTTGAAAAGGGCACACACTTTAAAAAATATATATTTATTTGTTTACTTGAAAGTCAGAGTTACACAGGAAGAATAGGAGAGACAGAGAGAGAGACAGAGAGGTCTTCCATCCGCTGGTTCATTCCCCAATTGGCCACAATGGCCAGAGCTGCGCTGATCGGAAACCAGGAGCCAGG